TCCACCAGGCTGAAATGAGGGTAAGAAGAGACTTTTCTTCAAGCCAGGCTAGTTCAAAGCGAAAAGGTTTAGGACCTCTACTGAGGCTTGGGTATTAAGAAGAATAGGGCAATGATCTAAGGTGGGTTGGGCGAGCCATAGCATGGGAGCTCGGAAAAGTTTCCTCCCAATTCACCGAAAGAAGGACTCTATCAAGTTTGGAAAGGGAAGGTTGATGAAAATGGTTGGACCAAGTAAAGCGACTGCCTTGTAAGCGTATATCTAGGAGTTCGTTCCGGAAAACGAAATCAGAAAAATCGTTCATTCCCTGAGAGATGGAGTGATTGGAATTTCTCTCATGGGACCATCTGGTTATGTTGAAATCTCCTCCTAGACACCAAACAGGGTGGGGTAGAGTAGCCAACAGGTCCAGCTCCGACCAGAAGCGAGATCTAGGAGCAGAAGAGCAGGGCCGTAAATAACTGAAAATTTCCAGTGTAACCTATCAGAAACTCGAGAGAGAAGTTAAGTAACCGAGAAGGCCCCAATGTGGGAGGAGAGGAGGAGATGATCTGAAGGGTTCCAGATCACCCAGATACCTCCTGAAGCCCCTTCTATGGGTAGCGCAACCCATTGACAGGGTCTTCTACCCTAGACCTGACAAATTTGAAGGAGGGTGGGCTCTGGTGACTTGGTTTCAGTGAGGGCTAGGATAACCGAAAGATGTTTGGAGGTCAAGTCCTTGACTGCGTCCCTCTTTGAAGAGTGACCCAATCCTCTAATGTTCCAAGAAAAAATCTTCATTTTTTGGGAACAAGAGCGAGCAAAGCTAATCTGGGCGATCTCCTTAGAGAGGAGGAGGAGACAGAGGATGGAAGGTTGGCTAGAGGGGAGTCGTCATAAGAGACAGATGAGAAGAGGTTGAGGAGTTTTCTTTGGCCTTTAGTACTCACCTTCAAGCGGCTTTGAGCATCCGATGTAGGAAACGGTGAGCCGGACCTTCAGGGCCTTCATAATTGAATCCCATAATTCTATAAATTTCTTTCATTCTTGCCCTTTCCCTGTCGTTCCCATCCCCGTCGACCCCCCCCCCCCCGCGTTGGCCCTGTCTGAAGCGGGAGAGATGGGAGAATCATGGTTTTCATCCGAATCTTGAGCTTGTGGGATTCCATCCCCATCGACCCTCTTTGCCCCGACAAGCACCGAAAGGGGAGATATGGACATGCTTGGTTTGTGGGTCAACTTCAAGAGCTGCTCGAAGTCTGAGGGGTAAACATCACGAGGTAGGGCAGGGAGGGGTTCAGCAGAGCAAGGCAAAGAGACGGTGTTCAAACTTAAAGAAGCAGCGGGGGCGGTGCTCAAACCAGGAGGAGCTGAGGGAGAAAGGGAAGGGGAGGGATGACAAGGGGGGCAAACGGAGGGTAGAGTGGGGGGAGTCAAGCGAGAGACTAAAGACTCAGGCTCAGGCAAGAAGGAAGGAGAGGGGGGCAACATACTCTAATCCCGAGAGACCGGGGGGAGGTTGAGATGGGGGGAACAAGGTAAATAGGGGAAGGCAGGAAAAGCGTATTATGGAGGACCGGAGGGAGAGAGTGGAGGAAGTAAGAAAGGAATTGGAGAGTTTCAGTGTGGACCAAAGAAGAAGACGGCCAAGGGTAGAGAGGAGCGATTGAACTGGATAATCCGGACCCTACTAATACGGACAAGAAGGGAAGAGAGGGAGAGGTGTGCGTGTGTGTGTGTGTGCGGGGGGGGTGTCTAAGGATTGCAAAAAACCAACCCCATAAAGTGGCAGAGAATCATCCATGGGCAAAGGCGAGGGTTGAGAAGAAGACAGCAGAGGAGCAGAGACACCCTCTGCCGCAGACAGAGAGGGTAGAAAGGGAAGAGGGAGAAAGGATGAGCAGGGATGGGGGGCGCGATGAAGAGGGGAGGGGGGAGGGTTCAACAGAGAAAAGGTTGAAGAGGATTTAGAAGAAGGGTGGGGCTGGGAAGAATGGAGGAGAGGAGAAGGGAGGAGGGGCAGCCTCGGGTGGAAGGTCAAGAGCAGCAGAGGAGAGAGGGCATGCCGAAGCTACCACCGAGGGAAGGAAAGCAAAAGGTGATGGAGGAGGAGAGGGAAGGGGAGGGAAAGGATATCAAGGCCTTGACCCTAGGCATGAGTACTCCTCGAGCGATGGGAAAGGACAAGTGCTCCTCTTCGGGAATGCCAAGTGGGAGGGATTAGGTGGGGCCGACGGCGATGGAGGCTCGAGAGAAGAGGCAGCAGAAGGCAAGGGGGTAGGTGGGGGCGACGGCAATGGAGGCTCGAGAGAAGAGACGGAAGAACGCAAGAGCGACCCGTGTTTAACAAAGGGCAGCGCACAAGGAGGCGTCGCGTCCGAACTGACGTTTCGATTAGAGGGAGTAATTGCACTGCCATGAACAGAGGGTAAGGCCCAGCAAGCCTGAGATGATGGGCTGGGTTCGTCAAGGTGGCCCGACGTGCCGTGGAGTCCAACCTCAAGAGGCTCTTTGTCGGGTCGATGCAAAGTAGGTAAGGCTCGATTGGAGAAGTCCAGAGGCTGTGAGTCCGGCCCACCTTCTACCGGGTTGACGCGAGGGAGGGGGACCGACTAAATCCCATCCTTCCGACCTAGCCTATTAGGATCCTCCAGGGGAGGTCGCCAGCAAGCAGGCCTAGAGAGTTTGGATACCCGAACCCGATCCAGGGCCCGGTCCATCGGAACATCTGCGAGAGGCTGGTGGCGACGCCTCCTATAGTGGTGATGTTTGCGCGTAACGGTGGTCCAAGCCAAGGCAGGGGGGCCTGAGGGCTGAGATTGGATCGTCTGATTGAATAAGAAAGGGGAGGGTTGAGATTGGCAACGTCACTGGCAATGTACTTTGAATTTTGTATTTTCTAGATTTTTTCAGGCTTTTTCTTCTTTTCTCTATTTTCTAGTTTTTGTATTTTTATTTTATTATTATATTTTGACCAGTCTAACCAGTGAACTGGTCTGGTTCGACCAGCCCATTGGAACCAATGCCACATTGATTCAACATTTGGTCCAATCTTAATAATATACATTACACTTTTTCCTTCAAAAATAGAAAGTTACAAATCTATTGGACACGGTGGAGTACTCATAGTTTTAAAGGGAGCTTTAGTTTTTTTTTTTTTTTACGAATGTTCACTTTTTAAAGGGAGCTTTAGTTGTAATGAGGGGAGTACACCATGGGTACCTGTATAATTGTTGGGGAGTACAACTGTGAATGAAAGAGGAATTTGGTTATGGAGAATGAAGAAGCTTAACAAAGGATATAATGGTTTGGCAACGGAAGATCTTGGAGATGCGAGACAACATCTTTGCCATTTTTGACAAGGTGGAGAAAATGAGACTCTGAGGTTTTCATGCAGGTCGTGATGCGGGTCGTATCTCATTTTTTAGTTTTCTTTAAATCAATGTTCAAAGTTTGGAGAAGAAAGGACCAATGTGGCTAGAGTTTTGTATACCACCTTGCTTCTCTATGGTTTTCTTAGTTACGTTGTGGTTAGCCTAGAAAGAAATTGGAATCCGAGTGAAATGGGTACTTCAGTGTTTGAGAAATATGGGCAAGTATTACAAGGTTTTAAGCACATGCAAGGCTTCAGAGAAATGGGTTATGCAAGGAATTCTAGTGGCAAGAGACCAAGTACAAGTTACGCTTGTAGGTGTGCAAGAAAGGTAGCAACTAAAACATATATGAAGGCAGAATGACCTCAACAACTCACGAGTGAGAGTGTTGACGAAGGTGAACTTTGCATGAGAAGGGAAAGCATAAGCAAGATGAGCAAGACACGACCGTGGAGATTATTTAGCTAAAGAGCTAATGGCTTTGGCTGAGTTCTCTGTGTTTTAAATCAAAGAACTAACCCAATATGGTTGGCAAGGTAGAAGTATCAAGGAAGAGATTCTCATATGGGTGACCCCAAAATCACTATCATGGTATTTCAGTATTTCTCTCATTTAGAGGTACTTTTGTCTACAATAGATATTTTTTAAATCAGCGTTTAAAAGCCCATTTTGTAAAAAGAGAAAAGGGGATCTTGTAAGGTAGAGTTTTGAGTGAGGCTAAGATTGGGTGGTTTTGCGAAATTCTAGCTATTATAGTGCTCTAGTTTCGATGGTTGTATTGGTATCTCCATTATAGGTGGAGCAGCAGTGATAAAGAGCTGATGATGGAGGTTCGTTTAATAGTGGATTTATAGTAGTGGAAAGGAAAACCAACAGCGCTTTACCAAAAATGAGGTACATGTGCATTTACCTAAATCTTATAACTCTCCCATGATAGTGACATTGTATCCTTGTTGGCTGCATGTGTATGTATCCCCAATTAGGGTGAACCATGTATATTTGTGTGTTTGGGGTGTTTGGATGGTGATTACAATGTGAAATGGAAGCAGCTTAAACGTGAAAACGGGGTTGTGGGTGAGCAAAACAAGGATTGTACTGCAAAGTGAAGCCTTTGGGTTTTCCTATTCATTTATCTTGGCTTTCATTGTTTTCATTTTTCCCAAATTAATTGCAAGACAAATTGTTCCTAAGATCGATTTTCTAGTGATTCGGCAAGTTGATTCTGAGATATTGGATTTATTGTAATGGGGCCCTCAATGGAACACGGTGTGATTGAACAAGTCTCGGTTCCCAACGCTTAACGAAGAAGGTCAAGTTCTCAACTTTGAAATAACCTACCCATAATTGACCCACGACAACTAGACATGTCTGGAAAAAAAAATGCAGCACTTTCATATATAGAAATTAATACGTTTTACCAGTTATTTAGAGCTCGAAATACTCCATGTAAATTTATACATCTAAATTACCCAAATAAAAAAAGAAAGGTCGACATCAATGTCCAAGCATTTTTGCATTTAGATTACAAAATAAACAAATAAATCTATATGTTTTCCATGTTTTTTCCTATGTACGCTACGAAATAAATGAACAAAGTCCCCCCAGTAAAAAAGCAGAAGGCAAAAATTGGGGCTAGAGAAAGACCTTCACTTGGTAGAGCTTGAGGCCAGGGGATTTTCCTGTATCTCTCTTGTTTTCTTCATCCAATGAGAACTCCGGAAGCAATTTATCAGAAGATTTGGGTGGATTCCTTGAATAATTTGCAGAAATCGGATTGAACCCATTTGCCACCGACTCAATCCCCGCTCTCCACTCTGCATCACCATCTTCTTCATCACTGCTACTTCTTGAAACACCCATTTTGATTCAAAAGAACCAGAAAATACAAAAAGAGGTTGGACTAGGTTAACCGGTTTTGAAGCTTAATTTTGAGCATGACTTTCATGGTGTTTCACACTCATCGATGGGAATTCCAGGAGGGACACCGGCATTATAAAAACGAACTCCAAAAGGCTTCTCTCTCTCCACGGCCGCAGTGAAGACTAAAGTCTCTCTCTCTCAATTTAAACATCGGAGACGAGGGCTTTCGCATAAACTGGAGCTTCCTCCCTCTCCACAGACACGGTGAGGACGGAACTTTCTCTCCCCGTACATGTAAACAGTGGGGGCAAAGGCTTTTGCAAAGACTGGAACTGGAGCTTCTGTCCTGCGCTCTTCAAGCCCTCGATACTTTCGAATGTGCACACTTATTAAAAAAATTTAAAAATGTAATAAATAAAGGGTTTATGTTACGGTGCTCATACTCAACGAAATTTTGGATACTTTACATTGTTTGTGTTACAATTGTTTTTAGTCAGGCATTTTGTAGTCATTAGGAGGAAGAGGATGAGATTATGCATGCAGAGGATGATATCGCACATCACAAGCCACTGAATATAATTAGGGTACTCCATTCCATGCGGGTGATGCTGCACTTATGTGGATGATGTCAATTATTCTTACCGATCAAAAATATTTTTATTGAAAAATATTATATTATAAAACAAAAGCCTATAAATATCCAAAACTTTTTTTTAATATAATTATAAAATGCTAATGTGAGCACCCTAAATAAAATTATCAAACTATCTATATAATATTTAGGGGCAATTCAATAATTTAATTTATTATAAATTATTTTTAATATTTATTAGTGTATGCTCTTGACATTTATGAACATACTAATTTCGGCCTAACCCAATGTATGAAAAAAGATATAAAATTAAGATACAATTTATATTTTAAAAAATAAGAGTTGATTGTAAATTATGAAATATATAGGGCTATTTTTATGTATCAAAAGTAAAATAAGATTTATATGTCAATTTATCAAAATTTTATGCTCAAGCAATTAAGGGCCTTATTTTCCATCAGACTTGAAGACCTAGTTATTTTAGATGTGAATATGTTGCCAACCTCAAAATCAAGAAGGAAAAATACCACTCGGAGAAAAAAGAAAAAGGGAAAATATGTTGTACCACCTTACAAAATATGTTGAACCTCCTTAAAATTATTTTACTCGATTATTACTTTTAGATACCTTTTTTAAATGATGAAGTTTATTATTTATGCGCATATCTAAAAAGATCTCTAACGAGATCCCATCAAATTTGTGCCAAAGGGTTAAAAATTTATAAATCAATAGAAACGCAGGGCTGGTCAAATTATAGACCTAAAATTAATACAAATATGAGCAGATCTTACCCTTTTTAGATGTACCAACAAAGAAGGTTAAATTTTCACATCAAATTAAATCTTTAAAAGCAAAAAAATCCAAACTAAACTAGAAGAATATGAAGTAAATAAGGAAATAATGAAAGTAGCTGAGATAAATAAAGGGGAAAAATCACTTACTTGGGGACCCAAAACTCGATGTTTCAAGCACAGATCTTTGTGCACGGCTTCTCTTTTTTGGATGCCTTTTTGCTGAATAATCATTGAGGAGCCAATAATCATTGAGGAGCCTAATGGCTATGTGAAAGTGGTAGGAATTAGGGTTTATTTCCCTAAATCTAGGATTTTCCTTTACTAAAAGGTTTTAAGGCTCATGGATGTAGGAAAAATTAGCATTTTCTAACATAGGTTTTCTTAATTATTTTCCTAAGACATTTTCCTATGTTTAAGGTTCTTCCTAAGGTTTTAGGGATTTCTAGGTGTCTAGGAATTTCTGAAAAATTTTGGGATTTTTCTATGAATTTTTGGATTTTCATAAATTTTCTTGTTATTTTTTGGAATTATAAGGGGTTTCATATAGACTAGGCCCAAGGGCTCTTCTGAAAATTTTAAATTTTGGTTTTTAATAATCTAAATAATTTTCCTAATTATCCTAGAAAAATTTGGGCTAAACTGACTTGTCAAAGCCTATCTTTGTATAAAATACCACCTCTATAGGTTTATCTAGGGCCTCCAAAAGCTTATGGTGTGTTATGGGCCTACTGGGCCTGGCAACTCACTGCGGGCATACAAATTATGAAAACCCATTGGGTAGTAGGGATCTACTGAAATTTTTTAGAACAATTTTGTTTGGGTTAAAACTTTTAAAATGGTGTGTCAAATTCGAGTGATCATTGGACTGTTGGAAAGCTCTTGATGTCCCCTCCTACAATGAAGCTTTAGTTTTGGTCAAATTTGGGTATGTTTTGGAAGGAGGGTTTCTGCATTTATATACCTAGAAAACCCTTCAATTAACCATCTCGACCACGAGGTTCATGGATTGCGAGTCTATTGAGTGAAGTTTAAGTAACAAAATATAAAAAAAAAATCTCTTTGTAATGCAATTATACTGCAACAAAATCTACGTGACTCCATATGGGTCATATCTTATAACCTATTTTGTAGTCTCCTATCAAAATGGGATGTAAGATCTTATTTTTATGAGATTTAATTATGTGTAGCAATATGAAGTATCACGTGACTTCCCCAACTATTGGGAGACTTATGTCGAACCATGTAAACCTTTGTTGAACTTGTCGAACCATGTAGTCAACTTGTCGAACCATGTAAACCTTTGTGTTTATGTTATTTTATTTTTTTGTACTATATTTCTTTCCTTTATTTTTGGCAAATATTAGTTTTTATCTTTTACAATTGGTATCAGAGCCTTAGGGTTGTTTAAGATCCTTCTTGGGCATAAGGTTTATTAAAGATCATAGATCTTTGAAGTTGGCTGGAGGAAGTTCAACCAAATATGAAATTCTAAAATTGATGATTTGGATTTCTCAACATATAAATTAAATATGCATACGATGTTGGTGAAAGATGGCTTTGTAGTGGCTTTAAAAGGCAGAGAAAATAAATCAGAAAAGATGGATGATGAGGAATTTGATGAAAATAATGAATTGGCCAGCGCGGATATTTTCTTGGCGCTTGATGAGTTTGTTTTATTCAATGTCTCCACAAACTTTCGCGAAAGATTTATGAGACAAGCTGAAAAATACTTACGAATATAAGTTTCTTCCTAATAAATTTTTTCTTCTTCGAAAACTTTACAATCTCAAAATGAGTGATGGTGCATCTTTACAAGGGCCCTTAAATGAGTTTAATGCCTTAATTAGCAAGTTGATGTCAATTGGTGTAAAGACTGATAAAGAGGACAAATCAGCTATTTTACTTTATTCTATGCCGGAATCTTGGGATGGATTAATCATAAATCTCAGTAGTGTAAAATCTCTTGAATTTCATTATGTTTTTTTAGTACTTCTGACAAAGGAGTCTGTGTAAAAGCCTGGTCAAAATTCATCAAGAAATGGGTTTGTACCAGTGTTTAAAAAAACGTCGAGTCGAACCGGACTCGCCCAGTTCGACTCGGGAATCGCCATGGACGGATCAAATCGGTGAAAAAAACGGGAATCGTCCGGTTCTAGAGAGAACCGGACGATTCTGTACAGTGACTCGCTGATTCACTGTACGGAATCGGCGAGTCCGAACAGTGAATCGGCGAGTCCCGTACGTAATTTTTTTTTTTTTTTATTTTTTTTTGTAATCCATGATTAGATTTTTTTATAATACTTGATTCGATTTTTTTGTAATCCATGATCGTAATGTTTTTTTTTTTGTTAATCCATGATTGTTAATTTTTGTTTTTTTTTTTTTGTTAACCCATGATTAGTAATTTTTTGTAATCCATGATTCGAATTTTTT